AGCACAACTCAGCACAAGTCGCAAAATTTCATTCCCTATCACGGTTCAAAAGTTATAGCGATTTAAAAATTGGAATTCCTAAAAACTGCTTTCTCTAGATGGTTGTGCTGCGAAAACTAACGACTTGCGGACATTTTGTCATTAAGAAAAGTTATTGTACTCTTCGAGCACAACCCGGCACAATTTTAAAAAATTTTAAATTGTAAAATTTTTTTCTCACCCTTATTTCTCCCTCTCCCTTAGCCCATTATTTTCAACCCCTGCAACTTTCTATGCATTTTTGGCCATTTCTTTGTTGTACTCATCTAGCGAAACTAAGCACAGTTTACAGAAGTTTGATAAATGCGTTTTTGAAGTAATTAATTTTTATTTTGTTTAAAAAATTTATTATTTTTTATCTGCCCAACGAAAAGAGATATCGAGTTAGTTCCAACGGCACAACGTGGCACAAATTATTATCTATCAACTAAAAAAAAATGGGTTTATTTCGATAAAAGTGCGGGGCTAGTATAATTTTTTTTTTATTTTTTTTCTTAATTGTTATTGAAGTTATCAATCTCTCGTTTGCGGCACAAGTCAGCACAAATCCAGCACAATACGGCACAATAAAAAAAAACTGAAAATTCGAAAAGTGCGGGGCTATCAAAAATTTTGTTTTTTTTAATTTTCTCGAATACGCTTTGAGTTACGGAGTTGCGGTTTGCGGCACAATACAGCACAAACGTAGCACAATACGGCACAATAAAAAAAAAATAAAAATTCAAAAAGTGCGGGGCTAACTTCACATACATTCGGAATCGGCATTAAACTGTATACAGGGTATGCAGACGACAAACTGTATACAGTTTAATTAATGCCGATTCCGAACAATCCCAACGGCTTTATAGGCACATATTATTTTTTTTTTTTTTTTTTTTTTTAGAGAAGTGTTCATGGCAAGAATACTCTCGGTGGTTTGCCATTGCCTTCCGAGAGGAGAACGAGCGAATATAATTTTTCTAGCTCTACCGGGAAACGAACCCGGGACCTTTGGCTCAATAGACCGGTGCGCTGTCTACAAGGCCATGCTCGTCCTCATACTTCTTCTTCTTCTTCTTATATTTGTATTGGCTCCTGCCTCTAATACGAGGTCAATATGGCCAGCATTTGCCCCTGTTTGTTAACAAAGTCTGAATCAGGTTGAGTGGCAAAGTCCAAAAGGAAATTGCAAGCAGACAGTAATCAATCGCAATACTTTAAAAAATTTTTTCGTTCGGACAGAACACGTCCGAACACGTTAAAACGTGTCGTCCGTGTCTACACGCGAAACGAAACACGTCCGAGCTAGTCCGCGTACGTTGGGCGAATGAATGCTCGTCCTCATACGTTTAATATATATAAGCGAAATTGAAGGTGTGATAATGGTTTACTGATGAATATATACAAATCAAATACTTCTTTTTACATTCCTCCGTTTGGATCAAGCATTTTTTTTTTCACGACCTCGCGAATAATTTATTGGAAACGAACCTGCCGTGTCCGGTCGCTTATCAGACTTATCAAAGTTTATTTCGGTTTGTGTCTCCGCCGGCGATTATGTATTTATATCCCCCCCCCCGCCGTGCCTCGTAGGAGAGCGGTGGTTTGTCTTTGTAGTTGAACTCTTTGTACTTTTTATCTTTTCTCTTTCTCTCTCCAACGTCTAATCTATACATATATCTATATCGCTTTGAGTGTAAAAAGTACAACGTAGTGACAGCTATACCAGCTACAAAGAGCGGAATTGACAATTTCTTCTCGGATGTTTCAGGCTCAGGCGTTGTCATCTCGCGGTGGCTCGTCCTCGTATCTCAGGAATACGATTTGACTGATTTGAGGCGGGTGACGCGGGTGTCATGCGGCGTACGTACAGCCGACGGGATTAGCGTGATCTGCGGTCATCTGCATACCTGTGATTCAAGGCACGTCGTCGGCGGACGGCTACGCCTCGCGACTCTCCCGCGCCCGAGATCAGGATGCCGGAACGAATCGAGATCGGTACGTGGAACCCCGGCTCTCACGCCAGCACATGCGAATCTGTGATTATTTACACGACGTGACACAACCTAATAACGGAGCAACGTAAACGCACCGGAGCTGGTTGAGGAAGGAGGGAATAATAAAAATAAAATTATATGCAAATTTTTTGCGAAAACAAGAGCAGGATAATATAACATAATAATTAAAAGAGTAAGTTTGAGTCTAGATATAAATGTGCCATATAACTTCCTCTAGAATTAAAAGCATCTTTAAACTTATAATGTGAGGGAGCAGCCTCCAGATTGTGTCTGGAGCTGGCTGAGGGGATACAAACGCTCAGAATGATGTACAACTTTATAGCAAACAAGGGAGAATAATCTGAATTAATTAAGGACTAAATGTATCTAAATTAACATGCTGAATGACTTATTTCTTGAGTCAAAGGCACTTGCAGTAAAAAAAGTGTATAATTCGTCAAGTGTGAATATGCTATTGAATTCTACAAATATTCTTATAAACATTTAAAATTGTTCTTCAGCAATATCAGAGTTTTAGAATCATCAGGTGTAATAATGCAAAGGATAAATCCATGCAATAAATATATGACTTATATCAGGCAACTTATCGTGTTAAAACTGAAACAATATATACGTTAATAAATTACATTTTTTTTCACTCGAATATTTCACTTGTGAATCCTTTTCCTCGGGCTCAGCGTTGAGGATCACGAGAAGACGTTTACAAGAACATAAAAACTTTATTGTGGTCCATATCAGGTATAGCGATTACATTTACGGAAAATATCTAGATGTACCGCTAGTAAGGATCACGAGGATATTAGGCGCATAATCTCAGTAAGCAAACTGTCCGCAAATTGGCAAAATCAAAAATCAAATTGGTATCAACTGTGTCTTTATTAAGCTCGTGTTTCGCCGACAAAAAGTTTGCTAGATTTCTGCCATCAAATTTTATTAACAAATTTCGTTACATTTCTGTTGATATTTTCCCAATAGCACTATATATGTTAGATCATGCATCAAATCTGGAGCTTTGCCAAAAATTTGTAGCAGACACTTTGCAGAATTCTCGACGGATTTGGCTGTTCGAGATTTTGCCTTTTCGATTTCAGTAATATACCTCTTTCCTTTCTGATCGAGACGACAATATTATGCAAGTCAGTCTAACTCACCCGCGACAATCTCTACTCTCGCGATCCATAACGGAAAAGTACAGAAAACGTCGACACTGGACGGACTATACACTTCCGCATTACGGAGCTGACGAACGAAATACCTAGCAAGTCGATTTAAAATAGTAACATAATTTTACAAAATGCTACATTTATTTACTCGCTAAAATGCTACATGTATTTACAGAATGGTATAATCTCGATGAACAATAGTACGCGCAGATATCGTCCGCGCACATTCGCCGTAAATGCTGCAAAACTGAATTGACTCAAAGCACACTGCTGTTAAATGTTCTCGAACTTGAGAGATTAGGCTTAAGTTTCCAGCCGGAAGAGCCAGGAAGAGTCGTGACGCGTTTTCTAATCGTCCGTTTATCTAACTCGATCACTCCCCTTCCGCATAATCTCCGGAGAAAGCGCAAGAATTAGGAGACCAATTATACTTTCTGACACGAGTACTGCACTACTTTATTAACAACAGTATACTCTCCTTTGCTTAATTATCGAAGGGGGGCGAAGGCCCGTATTTACATGACTTATTTGGAGTCGCAATTAAATCTGTTTCTGAATATTATGCAGCGCAAGAAAAAATTGCATACATTGCGGAATTAAACGGAGTTAAAATCGTATACTTGGCTCTGACGTTGAGAGAGAAATGCAAGACCGAGGTCCGAGATATTCAGTAGTGCATCGGACTATATTATGCGAAACATTACTTTCTCTAAACGTTTAACGAAGAAATATATATAGGTATCGCTTATTAAGAAATAAATACGGTAAGAACACAAAAGTATGTCGGGATAGTAACAAGCGCGTGCAATTGCTCAGACACGGGAGCAAAACGTTCTAATTTCGAGGGGATCCAAGCACTTGGAGGCTGTCCGAGTAGACGTCGTCGTGTCGATTTCGGTTAACGAAGTTTTCTTTCCATCTATAAATCTATATATTACAGGTAGAAATTACAGCCTGGAAAGAGGCAGCGAATCGTTAACCGGAGTCACTGGCGGTGACTCCAGTGACTCGCTGGACCCGAAATGCCGGTTTCGTGCGTCGTATACGCAACGACCGACCGATGTATCAGTCTATATCACAGAAACGGAACTCTCCATTTCGCTCGCAGTCTTCTTCTCGTCGCCGTCGTTGCCGTCGTCGTGATCACCGCCGTCGCGGCGACTGCGGTCGTCGACCTGTTCGTCGGGGACTAGAGACGTGTCCTTCGATAGGATCAAGGAGTCCTCGCCGATAGGCGCGGCGGCCTCGACTAGATTCTCGACGGACGCCGCCGTCGTCGGTCGTTCCTCGTGGCAGAAGCTTCTACGTAGGGACTGCTGCGTTCTCACGGTGCCCCTGCGTATGCTACTACGCAACAGATTCGCTACGTCGGCGGCCGTCAGGTTCGGGCCGGACAGGGTGTGCGGCGCGGTGATGTTCGCGCACGACCGGCGACCGCGGTCGATCGTCGAGTGAGTGCGCTCGATCGTGCGCGATCTTCCCGCGATGCTGATCCTGCTGGCGCGGTCGATGGTGTTCGGCCGATGACGGCGTTCGATCACCGAAGTGTCCACGTTGTGTCGGCTACCGCCGATGTTCGTCACATCTGGCCGCGGCTCCGACAACACGTGGATCGCGACGTGATCGCGCGACATCGGCGTGCCGCTCTGGTTCATCTCCACCAGGACGGTCGCGTAGTCCGGCGGTGGCGGCTGCAACGCCGGCCTCTGCCGCGGCGCGCTGCTCTCTCCCAACACGTTCGCGATCCTCCGCACGCTCCGCCGGAAGCTCTGCCGCAACATCTTCGCGATCCGCGCCCCGGTCGCCGTGGTGTAGCTCGGTGGGGGTGTGTACTTCGGCGGCGGATCCTCGAAAGGTATCTCCGTGGTCGCGGCGGGTAAGATCCCGTTCCCGTGCAAGCTGTTGCCGGTGTCGTTTCCAATTTGGGTCTGCGCGTCGCGGGGATCCTCCGGTTCCAGTGGTGGCCGATAGAGCAGCTGAATTCTCTGCAAAAATAAAACAAATTGTTCCATTGAGAATAAATGAACAAAAAGAAAATAAAACAGATTGTTCCGTTATTAAAGATCAATACAGATCGCGAAGTAAGCAAGTCGTTGCAACACTTGTACAATATTAACGCAGAAAGAAATTAGTCAGAACTTACGCCATTACATTGTTCACAGTGATTTATCGTTACTTCCACCTGTCCGTTCTATAGTCAGCAAGAACAGAAAGTGTGAAAGATATGTTAGTCATTAGTAGCGTGCTGGTAGCATACAATTATATACATTATACAAGGTATCTAGTAATAACCGTATCGCCTCCCGTGGGTAGGCAGAATGGGTTAAACTGAATAGAAAAAATCCTTGTAGATTTTTATCGCAAAACAATAGAAGACTATTTCTATTAAGTTTAACTCGCTCTACCTGCTCACGAAAGGTGATATGATTATTACCAGGTACCTTGTACGATAAAACAATTATGCTAATAGACAATTATAGAAAAAGCACTTAATGTATGTAAAAAAAACCCAATAATCGCGAGCTTTACCTTTGCCGTTCGCGATAACATCGTTGTTGATGATTATTTTGAAGCAACAGAGTTGCTTTTACAATTTTTGTCAATTGCGCGCGAGTTCATTATTTTCCAGCGATGGTAATAAAATATTTGAGGTTTATGTGGCGAGCGAGAATACTTACATCAAATATATCGGGTGGTCCGCTATTCAGGTATCGACACGTCTGTATGACAGCCACTGCCGGTATTATGAGTATCGGCGTCAGCTGAATCGCCGCCCCGAGTTGCCTTGCCCACACAGCCCAGTAATCTTTGCCCGTGCGACGATAAGAGTACAGTTCCCGGAAGTCGCTGCTCTTGAATATTGTGATACTCAGAACCTAAAGAGTACAATAACGATGACACGTGCGTGATTGCGACCCGATAACTTTGTTGCGTCTAAAAGAAATTGCTTTACCATCAAAGTGACGGGAAGAATGACGTTCCACGTGAAGGAGAGGAGAGGACCGGCCCAGTACCTGAGGCATCGCCCGGTCGGTGGGAATAACTCGGCAACGACCGCCTCGCCGGTGTGCGGACGTCCGCGGACCGCGAACACGGCGGCGATTTGCATTAGATACAAAACAATTATCCACCATGCCCCACCGACGGTGTAATCGAGATAGTACACGACATAAATACCCAACTGCGAACATATACAATAATATATAATGAAGATAAAATCTTTCATTAGTAGTAGAGTAGTACTTTCATTAGAATTATTATGAGAATATGTTTAAGAATAAAAGCGTTTTTAAGTTATCTAATTGCGAGATGGGAATTACGTAATAATTCCTACATTTTTTAATAATAATAAATATAATAAATATATTCCCATTAAAGTGATTACCATTTATTGTCATTATTACTACCGTTAGAAGTACGAGGTAACAGTTTATTAAAAGTAACGGTTGATTAAGCTACTAATGACATTGTCGAAACACTTGTTCTTATATCCTTCACTTGTATATCCAAAAATATAACGTTGTTCTTGGTATAGCCGGAGTATCTGCTCAGTGTGGTATAAGGAATAAACATGTACAGCCCAGATTCCTTATCAGGGTCTGAGTCATCCTTATCTCGGCCCACGGTCTTCACGATCTTTCTAAGATCGTTCGCGGGATTATCCTGGTCTCGTAGGATCACGGCGGCTCTGAGAACGCAGGGCCAGTCCAACAATGGATCCCACTTTCCATTCTCTACGCGCAAACATCCGATAATGTGACGATCCTTCCACTGCCCTTTGCCGTTTAGAAACAATTCCATTCTCAGGGTGTAACCGTATTCCTTGTTGTAAAATATCGGACTGTAGAGTGCACGATCACTCTCCTTCGCCTCGCTCATCTTTTCTTTGTAACGATCGATTCGCCATATAATACGGCCATTCGTCGAGACGTTCTCTGTCCCTTCGCAGGAACACGAGCTCAACGACGGTTCCGGTCTACAATTCTCCGCGATTAGCTCTTCGATATATTTCAGATTTTCCTTCATTTGAAACTTCAGACCTTTTATTTCCGACTTTCGCTTGGCCACGCTCTCGGAATGCTTATGGATTTCTTCCGACAAACTGTTCACTTTCTCTGATAAAGTATCATGTTTGGACGTTAATTCCTTTGTGTTCTTACATCTCATTTCCAATTCCAGTTTCAAGTCGTGGACACGTTGCGAATGTTCCTGCCATATATCGCTCGCGCGTATGCTTTCCTTAGCTACGAACGTCTTCAGGTCTTTTAATTCCTGGTCCCAATCGTTTGGAGTGCACACGTGTTTACTTTGATCGTCAGCCAATTCTCCCTCCAACAATTTCAGCTGCTCGGAGATTTGTCGTAAATTTACGGTAGTGCAATGTTGCATCTCATCGGTGATCATCTCCAGATTGTTCAACCTTCGATTCAGCGCTGCGTGGTTATTGCGAGATTCTTCGACCGCTTCCTCGACATTCAACTGCAACGCGACGAAAGATTGCTGCTGAGAATGCAGTAAGCTCAAGTTTCTAGAGAGATCATCCTGCAAACGTATCCGCTCCTTTTCCCCCTGGTCGATAGCTAAACGCAATAACGTCAATATCGAGAAAACCTTTTCTTTCCACACCGAATCTTGAATGTCCTTTATTTGGTTGTTTCTCATCGACGTTTTCGTGTCGCACATTTTCTCATGTACCTCCAGGTTTCTGCGTGGAACGTAAACCCCGCATTTGTGAGGACATTCCTCCAAGACCGCCGCGCAATGCGTTATATGCTCCGTTAAATATTTCTCTTCCAAAAATTCATTGCAAAAATAGCAAGGCACGCTACGACGCACTACCGAGTGAACGTTATTACTCATCTTCCGTTTTAATACGAACGCGCTTGTGATACTAATGCCGGTGCGGACTAAAATAAAGTGCTGATAACAATTCTCTGGAATGAAAGATTGCGCGCTCTATCTGATAAGAGTATCCGAAGACAGAGATAATATTACAGATATACCCAGGTTAAACAGCTATATCATGGGCGTATCGCGTTAATATACTACGTAAATTAAAATGCGGTATCTCCGTGTGTGATACATATAATTAATAATGTAAATATTTGCGTGTTATTATGTTCGAACATAATCGCATTTTCTATCGAGTAATATCTTTAAATAAGTAAAATGTAACTTTATCGACAATTTGTCGTCATCTCCGATTTATTGAATTATAAAGAATTCCACTGTACCTCCGTAGCCATGGGTAATCCAAGTATGTATGCACAAGCACAGCTGAAAAACGTGATTGTGGTCTCCCAGAGCTTCATCATTTTCGTATTGATCGCCATTATACCGGTTATTACACAATGCCAGATCGCCAACTAAAATATTAACAAAACTTTTAAGTATTTTCGATTATGTATTCATCACTAATAATAAGATGTCGACATTTGTTGATCGCATATTCATAGGATCTTGTCCGTAGTACTCTTTCGTCGAGTGCGAGGTAAAACACATATACCTGTTGTGCGATCCCAAATAAGATGAGGATGAAGTAAAACAGGACCGCCCAGAACGGCGACACCTGTTCGGCGCCTAACAATGCCAGCGTCGAGGGCACCAATTCAGTGGCTAGCCGTAACACCTGGTATCCGGACTCGGTACTCGTGTCCGCGCCAGGTCGTATTACACGTTGGCCAAGGAGAAATGATGCGTGAGACATGAATCTCTCCGGCGTGCTGCTGTATCCTGACGGTGCTGGTTGGCTGACAAGCCTCATAAACGTATACCCTGATATTCTCTCTGTAAAATCATGCGAGAATGATAACTTGGGCGAATAACGTTGAATATTTTCGATTGTTCGAGGTAATACAAAACGAATGTGTTTACCGAAAGAACTAGTAGTATAGACGTAACCGTGATGCCTGAGGATTTGTACGCAGGTATTCGCTAAGAAAGCCCCGAGAAGGAGAACCACAAACGTCAGGATTACAACGAGGCTCGTGTCCCGCTGTAGGAGATGCTTGTGCTTGTTGTGAGCCGCTATCTGAAATTGGCAGTATTCCAATGAGCCGCTACCGATCGTCACGTTTAAGTGTTACGACTAATCGAAGAATCTAATCATAGGAGAAAGTAAGTTGCGTTTGTTAAATAATCATCGTACGATTGTAGGTGATGATACCTGCATAGCGGCCGCACCGAGTAAACCCCACGTGAGGAAGACCTCGTTCGAGGCAGCCACCCATGACTTCCCATTAATAAAGAATTCGCTCCAGACGGTGGCGGGAAAAAGTTGGTGTATCGAGCCCGGCGGGGTGAGTCCAAGCAGTTTTGTGCAAAGAATTAATGTGCCAAACACGGGCACTAGTGTGAAAACGTATACAACTTTTCCGTAAGATCTCAGTCCTAAATTAAAATAGAAATGAAAATTAAATCTTTTGTGATACACATTGAACGAACGCGCATATCGTGTAAAATATACAGTGACAAAATTTTTCTCTGTTTACGTATCATAAATGAATATATATTTCAACATTTTCCAACAATTAGATCTTTCAATACTTCTTCATTTTCTTGTAAAAATCGATGCGAAAAAAGGCCTAAATTCATACCTTTTTTTGTTTTAAAAAAGAAAATTTACCTTTACTCAGTGAAACAAATACGATCATCCACACGACGGCCAGATTGAAGGCCACTTGGAACTTCAACGTGACGACACCAGGATTAGCCTCATTCAAGTGATGTCTTTGCAATACAGCACCGCTAAAGTAATCCGGAACAGTCTCGTATAATTTGTACGAAGCGGTGGTGTTGTACGTGGGACGGCTGTCGTCTCGATAGAGAAGAAACGGCTCCGCCCATCGATACCTGTCCTGCTTCGTTATGAACGAATCTCTGCAATCAATATACCACGCATTTTGTCCTACTTGATCAACATGGCATGGCATTATTTTGATATCGCATCGTAGGCGATGGAGGAGAGTCTAGAGACTCGAGAGAAGCTATTGAGATCATCGCGTCGAGATTGCACAAATATGACGTGTGATATACATTAATCTGGCGTTGTATCTAGGCCTGCGATGTTCCTTCTTGACCTACTAAACTTAGAATATACAAGTCTAAATACGAATTTATCCGTTAAAATTTCATCAGAATTTAGGATGATACCGACCACATCTCGATTAACTTATCAAAAGTAATATCCTCAATATTTTATTAACATAAACATGATTGCGCATTTAAAAACAATGCAAATATGAATGTAAAATAGAATAGATAAAGTAGATAATTTATATGAATATAAGCAATGTTTATACGAATTAACACGTATATTAACGCATTGTATATTGAATCAATATGAATTTATATGAATCAACTGACACGTGGTGATTTGCGGTCTTTAATTTCGTCAAAAATCGCTTTCCTGACGAATTGACACGAATAGTTAACAACGAACGCGAACTCGACGAACATGTCTGTTCACACTATTTGCGAATTTCATACGAATCTCGAACCACGAGTAGGAGAGCGCAGAGTCTGACGCTAGCTTTAAGCATCAGATTATTTGCGGTTCGCAATTCGTGTGTAGATATACGCAAATAGCGTGAAGAGAAAATTCATTAAATTTGCATTCGTGATTCGTCATTCAATTTGCTGATTTGCAGAGCGGTTTTTCGACGAATTCGAAGGACGCAAATCACCACGAATCAGTATATTCGTGTTGAATCATATGAACAACAGTGTAAAAGCGAATAACGAATTTTCTACAAATTATCACGAATCGTGAATAGCGCATAGTTTAGTGTCAACTTTAAAGATACGTTTCGAGGTGTACTTTTACATAATAAATCTACCTGAAGTACACGAACATCCACGACACGCCGACTATGCTGTAAATACCGATGAAGGCCTGCGCGGTGAGCAGAGCTATCCCGACGCCCTGAAAAAGCGGCGATATTCTCCACATGTCCACGGAACCGGCCGCCAATCTTTGTCCGAGACATACTTGTAGCGTCAACAGCGGGATGCCCAGGACGAGGGATAAGATCAGGAATTGTACAATGAAGTTCGCTGTAAAAAGAAAGAGGGTAAAGAATAAGAGATTAAAAGGAGCGTCCGCAAATAACAAAGTAAAGAAGAATTCCTTGAGAGACGATTGAGGGACGAAGGAAAACGTCTCACGATCGCTTGCCATTGAGGGAACCGTCGCGCTGTACGTCGAGCGTGGGTAACCGACCGTTTCTTCGCTGTGTAGATCGATCATTATTCTCGCAAATAGCCGCGGAACTAATTATCGACATTACGAGGGGGGGGGAGGGGAGAGAGGCCATGGTATGAATTATTATCAACGGCGCGGCAATTTCGTCGGTCCGCTGCCCGTTCCGGAAGGCTTAGCGTTGGCGCCGCACAACAACGTCGCGGTCGCCGAGAATCTGCAATTTCGCGGGACTTGAGAGCCGCATACGGTGCCCTGATAAATTTGATCGCCATTCGACCGCGGCGTATAAATTTCGCCAGTCACGAATAAAATATGGACTTGCGTTTTTCTTTTGCCTGCTGAGAACGTCGAAATTCGATCTCATTGAAACGAGACCGGTCTCGATTTCTCCCTGAGAACGTTTCATTCCGCGAAAATTACTGCGCGTCAAAGATTCCCTCTGTCCATCATCTCGCGCACGACTTGCGTCGTGAACTTGAGCCAGAACATTTTGACGGAGTCCAGACGTGACGCGTTTGCGGCATTCTTGCGGCCGGGCGCTCACCTCCAAACTGCACGCTGAGAATGGCGAATCTGCTGATGTTGAAGAGTCCCAGAGTGCAGCCGAGGCACGCGAGGGTCGAGCTGAGGGCGTGAGGCCATTTCCCCAGAGGATTCTCGTCCTCGTCGTCATCCTCGCCCCTGTCGTTATGCCTGTCGGCGTCCCTTTGTCTCTCGCATACCCTGGAATCGATACCACAAGAATGCACGATTATTAGGAGTAATTAATGTAAATCCTGCCATTATTAGTATGTAAACCCTACCAACAAATAAACCTTAATATAATCAATAACACAAATATTTACATCGTTAAACCTCGATAGATTAATAAAATAAACTGTGGATTCTGTATCGAAATATGTATATCCGTTAAATCGAAAACTTTCAGTTCTACGAAATATTCTTAGTTTATTTTAAAAAGCGTCTAATTTATTTCACAATAGAAGAAATTATATGAAAGCAAATTGATGCGTTAACTGCTGAGTATAAGTTAATTCATAGTTGGCGATCTGTAGATGGACGCCAGCTATTCGTCGATTTAATTTTTTGAAGGGAGAAATACAAATTTATAAGTTTTGATGAAAAGAAAAAACACAATTAAGTATAGCACACTGAAATTATATGCTCATATAAAAACGGGGGGATAAAAATTGTACAATCTACCTAATTGTAAGTCAACGTGTTAATAAACTTCAATAATTAATAAAATAAATCTTAAATTTTGTATCAATATCTATAAACCGAATCTATATTATAAACCGAAGACTCTCGGTGATTTCTACCAAGTATTCCCAGTTTATGTAAAAGAAGCGTCCAATTTATTTTCTATCTCTATGTCTAAAGGAAGGAAGTGTGCGAAAGATTAATGTGCAGATTAATCTCCAATTGACGCAACAAATCTCATTTACGTCGTAAAACTAGCATTAGCGTATATTGCGCGACGTCTCGATTTCCGATCCGTAATCGAGATGATGCTGTGGCTCCCGAGGCCACGTTAGTTCGCGCTAAAACTAGGTCGAGCGCAATTTTATCGCGTGCTGCTGTCTTGAAAGGATGTTATCGCCGTCTTACCGTAAACCTGTCCGTTTGATCCTACAGAGACGGATGTAGACCCAGCGAAACGTTCACATCCTACGCAGAAGACAGCGCGTTGTTCGCGCTAAAATTAGCGAGGAGCGAGAGAGATCTTTGTATACCGGTCTAATCGCTGTAACGAGTAATCGAGGCGGTAGGGACCCTCGTAAATCCAATAAGGCGATCGCCGATGATACACGAGGAGAATCAACAGTGAATTATGACCCACGGGCTCTATCGTGTATACTTAACGTGATTATACCAACGGGGTTTAAATCACGCACGACGCGGCCGGACACACCCGGTAGATCTCGCGGTAATGCCGATAATAGATCGACTGTCAGATCGGTACCGTTATCGCGGGAGAGATGGAGAGGCAAAATAGGAGAGATGGAGCATATCGAGGATCGTTGCGCGTCAAAGCGGAGATTTCTGCACTCGAGAAGCCTCGTAAAGTTTCGTTGGTGCGTCATCGTGCACCGTCTCAAAGTATAACCTCAGACCGACTCGCGTGCGTTATTTATTGAATAAACGTCGAACAAATCTTTTCGCGTGTACTCTTGAACATTTGTTTTTCTGTCTTTTTACAAGAAAGATCATTATAGAGAGAAACGTTCGTAGAATCATATCTAAATGAAAACTGCAACGTTGTGAAATGTCCACGTGTAATCTCCATTTAATATAATTCTATTATTTTTATTTGCAATTATAAAATTCTTCTGGGATTACAATCCGTGTAAAGATTTTCATCGGTTTAAGTATGAAAATATCGAGTTGACGCAGCCAAAATGTAGATCTTGAAAAGTGAAAAGTCCATTTTTTTAAATAATGTAATGTATATAATGTAGTCAAGGCATTTTGAATTAACACGCGGTTTTCGGTGGTTTAAACTTTAAATTTCTTGTTCATGAAAGTCATGGTCTTTACTTTGGACAGACTGGCCGAATAGCCTGTTTTGTGTAACGCTTCTCTAGTATGAAATTTGTTGGACCATTGTTGAGCTGCGCGCTCATTAACGCTATTCTCCCGAAACACGATGCGTACGTTAGCTTGGACGAGAATGCAGCAGAATGCCCAAGTTTGAATTTATAATTGTCTGGATGTCTAGATTTTCCATGTTTCACTTCCGAATATATTTATTAATAAGATAATGAACACGATCATTATAGTTTATATCGATTTTAACTTAGGAGATGATGGAGGAATACGCAATGTCTATACCTCCTGGCTTACAATTTAATCAAACTATCCCTTCTCCCTAAATAATAAAATCCGCTCTTTAGACCAATTCAATAACAGTTATACGAAGAACAAACTTTCCTCATCCTCGCGCTGAACGTTCTGTCTTAATGACCGGCGTTATTCATCGCCGTCTCTTAGTAAATTATTTAACGATACACGAATCGACGTCGTAGTAATTTGTCACGCATTGCCATCAAGCACGAATAATTTTGAAATTTTTTATCGTCGATCGACCGCCCACGTACTGATACTCGAGAAATAAGAGTGGGAATCACGCGTCGCTAACTGCATGGTACGAGTATCGCGAATTCATGCGAATTGCATGCCAGAGGTATGATGCCTGGCCAATAAAAAACGTACGGCCCGCATTAATAGCTGTATTAACAGTTTACGTAACACAGATAATAGAGTACGCTCTTATCGATCAATTATACCGCGAGCTATACTATTAAACTAAATATATGCCACATTGTTATCTTGAAGATTCAATATAAATTGCATATTTCCATGTTAAACAGTCGATGAATAATACATCTTTATTAAATTATTAAATTGTTTATGTTTTTGACGATTACTGATTAGATATAAGCCGCTAAGTACAATGTTGGTTCAACATTTTTTCAACTTGAGATCTACGATTGCCTTTAACTGCACAAAATTAATATTTTAACGCGGACGTTGTCTTTATTATGGACAGTTAACTCTGACATATCTTTACGAGCGTTATTCGAGCAGTATTCTGGGAAAGCCCTTAAAGATCGCGATCGCGTCGGCACGGGAGCGTTATCGGCTCGGCATCGTCGACACGATATACGGCACAGAATACTGAGCAGTCCCTTTTTTTTAAATTGACGTCACGGATATTTCGGGGAGCACGAAACGTCGGTCCGAAGGTCGTTAAAAATCGAGGAGGTGACAAAGGGTGGACGGGTTCGGAGGGGAGATCGATACGGCAATCGCCGTGGTCACCGCTAATGACCGCGAACCCTGTACGGCCCCTTAACCGATGCCGCTCGCGATTAGGCGCACGCGAGCCGCCACACTCTTGACACGATAACCACACGGTCTCCTTTCCTCGTTCTCTTCCGCTCGCTCGCTCGGTCGCTCCGAGCGCGCCAACTCAGCTCGGATCTGTGTGTCCGATTTCGCGTAGGTCAGTCCGGTCGATCGAGGCTGGCCACTTCGATAAAAATATCCCGCGAAACAGTTGAACCGGTAAATCGCGGGACGGCCGGTGTCTCGACCCGATTACTCAACAATAAAACGCAAATCGAGTGCCAGTCAAATGCCGAAAACGATCTTATGAAATGCAATTTGTATGTCATTGAAATCACCGATTATTGATTCTCATGAGAATTAATAAAATCTGAATATGCAAAATAAATTTGTAAAATTCACCTTAAACAACGGCGAGGTCGCAGAGGCATTTTGCTTGTAATGCAATTTAATTTTAATTTTACTTTTGATCTTTGTTTGCTCGCTCTTTCGCCAATCTGGAAAGTGATGAGTCTTACTTGACAAAACGACTCAAAGATTTCGCGCCACACAGACTTATTGTTTACTTATAGAGGATAGTGATTCCTGTTAGAAAAAGTTTATCGATTCGTTCGGCAAAATAGCTGTATTGATCGCTCACTTGCAAGTCTGACAAAATCCATAAAATCTGTCAAGGCGATCGCGTCGTATTAGGAGTCTAGGTGATTTCAATGACATTGTCTAGCAAGGCTCTGAAACACATATGCAGAGAACCAATTGATCCTTGATTAATTAGAAACGTTGTTTAGTATTCGCATTCCACGGCGAGATAGTCCGTTTGATTATATTACAAATTTTCATTCAAATACCATTATACCTTTCATTATAGATCGAAAAGCTTCCGAGGGAGCTTCAAAGACCTTCGTGAAGTATATAAAGGTGTTTTGTTAGTTTCTCTATTATTTTATATTTATATCGCTATTATATGTATATAAAAAATGCGAGATAAGTATCTATACCTTTCATTTATTTAATTAAACTATCTTATACGCACCTATGTGCATATATAGCCATATACATATATACACACATACACACTCGTCTGATGCATTGTCTAATAATTGTTGTACATAACATTTTTCTTTAAAATAAAATTGTGTTCTATCATATTCAACAGTTCTATCTACATACTATCAAGAATAAAGCACATGTTTATAAGAACTTATTTTCTTTTAATAACTACTTAATACTATTATCGTTGAGAAATATTTCCATTTCTTCTTGAATCATTCTGGATATGTACATATGCTCATATAATTGAGCGCTTTAAATGCTCCTGTTATTTTATGAATCTCAGGCGTGGATTTCAAGGATGGACGCACAGCTACACGATCTCGCGAGGTTCCACGAAGAAAATCGCATCGCGATCTGCAGATGATCGCGGAATACAAACACCCATGTCCTGCATTTATGCTCGCTGATACGCGGCGTATCGATCTGACGCTTATTCAGGAACCGAATCGATAAATGTTTGTATTTACCATGCGACTGAATATTTGTGCGATAAACACGTATGTATTGTCCTTGGTATGAGCGCCTCGAAATTCGATGGGTGCGTGAAGTGTGTGTGTGTATTTCTGCGTCGCGTGTCGTGGCGAAATAAAGAACAGGTGCAAGCACACGCGCATTTTCCCGCATGCGCTTTGTTCAGAAACCGACTAAAAAATAATCGACGGATTACATCGCGTAGGTGTAAAGAAAATTTTCGATGATCGTGTCTGTTAGCGGATGGTCAGAAAAATGTTTCATTTTTTAAATGTAATACGCGGCAGCCTGCGTGATAACGCGATAAGTATATGATGTCGATGTACGCAAGTATTTTTATGAAAATATCAATGTTTTAACATCGAGATTGTAATTAAAATCTTATGTAGTACTGGTTTCGGTAACGTTTGTAACGTCTACAACCGTTGTAAAGTCTACAATTGACGATACGTGATCCTAATTGTAACCGGATCATGTGAGAGAGAATATGAAAATATATCTTCATAAAAACGTGAAAGGATGAATCTGAGCATTTCTGTTCAGTCGTTTCTACTTATAGAAGTACGGATTCCGTAAATTGTGATTTTTCCGAGTTACATATCAATACCTACATAGTATCCAATATGAGCAAAGAATTTGTTTAATGTTGAAGAGAGAGAGAGAGAGAGAGAGAGAGGAGACAAAAAGTCCAGACAACAAGATCGATTATGAAAAGAAGTATTAATGAACCTGTTCTATGCTTGGTATTTTTTGCGTTCATATTTCTCTGAAGAGTCATATGTCATTATATAGACATATTATATAGACATATCATCTTCATGCATACATTAACACATATAAAATAAATAGTTACAACTACATAGTAAACTGCACGCCGATTCTTTGTCTGACTTAAATCACAGTTTTTGTTGGAACATTAAAATCCCCTACCCCTCCCCCTAAACTAAATCGATATCGATTTAACTTTGATGCTAATATATAATAACCATAAATTACTGTATAGAATTTTTTCAAAAAATATTACAACTCTTACAGCCTCTGCTATGTTATTTTTTTCATTGTATAGGATCGAACATTTTTATATAAATATTAACATATATAGTCATGACATGAGATCAGAGATAAAATCAATATTATCCTAATAACCCGAGAAAAAAAGTAAATAACATATTGTGTCGATCACAAGTGTCTTGCTCAATCCCACATAATTCTCTGATTAATCTGCGAAGATCTCAATAATCTGAAGAAAACACGAATATGATTCGTGCCATATAGTCTTGAAAACATATCTGTCAAAATAATGACGTCTTTAGGCAGATATGCATATAAATCTTCGTGATGTTGCATAAACGCGCGCAAACAAACGTTTCTCCGCACCCGCGCATAAATTACGTAACTTGCATAATCTCACGATTTTGTGAAATAAGCTGTGAGAGAAATTGTCGGAAATGGCGCTTATAACGATCGACAATTAAACAATTCCCCGCTTTAAATCGTTCATTTAACTTCTATCTACTTTCTTTTCGTTTTTTTCTTATTTATACATATATTCTCATTTATTTATAAATATATGTTTAAAGAGACTGTTTAATGTTGTATAAATGTATCTGAACAAAATAATTTGACAATTTTTCAAGTATGCGCATGAACTATTAAATATATGCATGAAATTTTCGTAAAAAACGTTCCCAAATTCTCTAAAGGCGTTTACTCTTACATACATCCCTGCATTACCCTTGCGCAAGACCGTAACGATGTTATAGGGTTTAAGTCCGTGAATCGTGATGAGCGCGCAACTGGCATCCAAGTCGCAAGTCGCACGTTAAACAGATTGTAAACAGCAATTTAGACAATTAAAAACATTAAGGCAAATTAAAGGCTTTTACGTTAAACGTATCGCCTCTCTAAACTGACTAACAGTATACGAGGCATTCTCCGAGGCGCTGAATCCGGCAGCCTTGATCCGCATTCGATGCCAGATACCTCGAGCCGCCTCTGATTCGATTTAACACAGTACATTTAAGTCGCCGGCGATACAGATGGTCTCGAGCGGAATAAGTGAGTTTATTTTATTAGCCAACTCTCCGCGGCCGTGAGAGAAAAAAACCGCGTCTCGCTAAAGATGCGATTTCGACTTCGAGTTTCTGCCGCAATTCGTTATGGGTATAAGATCTGCGAGAGACGTCGTCGCGTGTGGAGTTTTGCGACACCGAGGCACCAGCTGTCATGAGAAAGTTAACGTCGTCGTCTCCGCGAGAGGTGTCGCGTCTTCTTATTATGATAAAGAAGCGTTAATTTTCCGCAATGCAGCGTTTGCGACACACTGCGGCGTACCTACGACCGTTTTTCTCTCCTCGATCTGTCCGCGTCGGAAAATTTAACTTCGACTCGAAGCTTTCCACGGATAAAATTTGCGAAAGTCGAGCAGGAGCGAACGAGCGGAAAGTGAGAGACACATTGCGTGAGATAAGAGGCGAAATATATCGCGTGATCGAGGAACCCGATTGCTCCATACTGATCGAAGGAAACGTACGCTATATTATCCACGAAGCTCCCTCGTCCCCTGGCCACTTCGTCCATTTTGCTGTGTTACGAAAAAACAGCCGACATTTTACCATCTACCCGCAGGTATAGCGTATCCCATTTACTTGACGCACATTACGTTTTTTATCTAACGTTGCCTACCTCCACGAAATTACATGGCGTCGACGTCACCATGCAATTTTTTCCAAGGAGAGAAACTGCAAGGTCGAGATACATTCATTCTACAAGATGCCGATGACCGCTCGGTTTTTCTGTACCTACTACACAGCATATCGCGCATCGGCGAGACGTTCGACAAGTAGGGTTTTTTTTCCGTCCCATTATGGTCATTAATTGTAAAATCTGAAACGCGTCACATTTTCTCTTTATGTTAAATTTTTAGGTTTGACGTCAGACGACGCCGAATATGCCAGACGACGATTATTCATCGAGTATACCGCGAACGCGAGTGAATATATGTATTATCTGGGCGGACAACCTTGACATAAAATTCCGGTCAATAACTTGCGAAAAATTCCAGAAGATTTAGCAAGATACTGGATGAGAAATGATTCATGTTGCCACGATATATCAATCGAACACAGTACATTCAGCACTGTACACGGAGAAAAAAAAGCTGTTGCTTCAATTAAAGTGCCATCACGGGGTGCCAAAAACGTAAGTAGTTTATTCAATTGCATTATTATTAGACCCAATATCTGGATTATTAAACCAATTTTTAAGCATTGGTTTAAAATCCAGATATTGGGTTTAATAATAATACAATTGAATAAACTATTTATGTTTTTGGCACCCCGTGATAGCACTTTAATTGAAGCAACAGCTTTTTTTCTCCGTGTACTCTAATTTTACATTAATTTAAAGTGTATCACAATGTTAAATTCGTAGTATCAAATTATATTTAATTTGAGACATTTTTAACCATTCCTACAAGTCGTCACTTACTCTTACTCAATATATCGTTAATTTAATTAATCTGCTGAAGTTAAAATAATACTTTTGTGTCGCTTAATCCTCGTAAAAAATCTAATTACCAATTACCAACTCAGTTTTCCGTAAACGCACTTGACAAATGTTCGTCGAGCGAACATCGTTCGTAGGATGCTGCATCCCCGCGAATAAACATCGTCGACGCGGAAACGTCGTCGAGTCCTCTCGCGTGTAAAACACGCCGGGCAATTCGACGGGGCATCGCGCGCAACCGGCGACTAACGTTACGACGAGTACGGCTCGACACGGTTCGTTAAGCCGATGTCGCGGAGCTGGGAAACATTACGCCGGGATGCAACGAGACTGTTTGTTGCACGCCGTAAGAGCGGCGTTACACGCCGCGCGAGAGGAAGCGGGAATCATCCCGCGTGTAATCGGACGGCCGTAAAATCGTAAGAAAGATACCACGGCGAATGGAATCGTAATCGCCGTCCCTCCTCAGCTCCTCTCGGAGAAGACACAAACGTGAGTTTGTGTGTGTGTGTTTCTCTGATCTGATCCCCCGAGCAAACAACTCTCGCGACGGTAAATTTCCCTCCGTGTCCTCTCACATCCTACTATTATCACGCAATCACTCATTCTGACGAATGTTAGCGCAACACTAATTTATTTAGCACCGAATCGTCAACGACGTTGCTAAATAAATCGACGCTATGTCGCGTGAAAGATGTTAAAAGAGTTTAATGTAATTTCGACGTCTAACAAGACGACTGGTAAGACACATTAGCATGGAACATGTCGCGCTGGTCCTCCTCAGGCAGCTCGCATACTTATTTATTACTCATCGAGTCGTGTTATAGAAACATCCCGGACATGCTTATTGTATCGCGTTCGTTCACTAATTGATATAGCTGACCGGCGATTAAACAGTCGGAATTAATTGAAAACGCGACGGTACGTGTCGCGCGCACGAAGCGTGCATGCGTTTCGCGATCGAAGCCGCGAGCTTTACAATTAATTATTCAAGCGTAGCACGATTCAAACCGGCAAACCAATTTCCACGGATCGGAATCGGGGTAACGGAACGCGGAACGAATCCGCGTTATATTTTTGTGAATATATTGTGCTTCGCTTTCGCGAATCGATTTCGATACCTGACGCGATGCCGACGCTGGCTGCAGTAGAAGTACTGATGGCAGATCGTTGAATCGTGGTTCATCCTCATCGCATGTGTCACGTTGCGACGTCAACGATCTTCGTCCTCTGCAGTCATTCGGCAAAATCGAATCCTCCTCCTCCTGCGCGATATCTCGCTTTTCCCGTTCTTATCTTTTCCTCTCCACGACGTGCAGAATAAGGAGATGTGTAACTTTCTTGTTCGAACCGAGTTCGTCCTTCTCCTTTCCTCCACTCGCCGATTGTACAATCGTTATGTGAAATAGCCCTGATTTGCAAGATACCGCAATTAAGCGACCGCTCGATTAATTTCAAATAACAAGTTCCGCCTTGGAATAAATGATCATTAATTAATCTCGCTGTTCCTTCCCGGATTGTTTAACGCGGGGAATTGGCCTTCTTTCCTCACACTTGGCCGAGGTGGATGCGATTATCGCAAACTCTTCTCGATGTGTTTCTGAATACGAATTCCAGATGATAGATTCGTCCTTGGATAACATTACGTTAATTATAACCCTCGTTCCTGTTCGAATGTTTAGATCCAAGAGGTCACTGAACAAAGGCTTATCTCTCTCTCTCTCTCTCCTCTCTCCCGCGGCGTATCCTCCTCGTCTCGCGCGTAGTTTTCTCGTCGTTATGAAGGGAATTGCAGCGTTCGAGGAAAACCTCGCGAAATATACACTCTACGGCCGCTCAAGGTTCCACGACGGCTGCTTTAACGAGCCACGAAACAATCGAATTTCGAAACGGTCCGTTTCCGCGGCCGCCGGCTTCTCTTCTTCGCTGTTGCCCTCTTACCCGGCAGCGTGTCCGGAGCGTGAAGTCACGCGCGGCTCTTTATTTCGCTCACGCACCGACCGCCTCGCGTCTCTTTTCCCGCGTGGCACACAATCGTGTCGTCTACCCGCGCGCACCCGGGACACCCGTTATTTTTCACGTCGCGCGTTCGCCGGGACGAACAATGCGCCGAGAAGATTACTTAACCCTGGTTTAGCGATTTGTTGTCCCTCGCGAGAGGCTACGGTTAGACTGTAATCGCAGGTGATTATCGCGCGAGCTCGCATGTCTCGAGACACACTCGCGGAGATTTGTCCTTCTTAAACGAGCAGCCGAAGATAATTTTTGCCGTTTCTCTCTGATTTCGTTTATCTAATGGTATCTTAAATAAGGAGCAATTTTCACAGACATCCTGTCCATCCATCCCAACAATTCGGCAAGTAATTTCGGCATCGACGACGAATATAATTTCATTATTCCGAGGTGAAATCGGGATAATATAATAGTAATCTTCAATTTCACGTTGAGTAAAATCAATGCTGACCTCGCGTTGCTCCGGAGATTAATATCCAGTCAACATTCTTGCCGAAATTCGTTGTGCAAAAGAGGATATCTGTCACTTTGAAGATTTGCCAATCTACCATATGAAACTTGGCAGATACCTTGCCTCTTCGATCCGTCAGTTTCTCCGCTTCGTCCGTCTTTTCTTTTTTCCTTTCCGTCCCACGCGATGAGCCAGTATCGGGCCTGTCCTTACTTATAGCCGCTCGGAAAAGTTTCGATACCTTCGATCTTCCGGCTTCGCCGCTCGCGGTCACTTGGCGAGTTTACTCGTGGCGCAAACTTTGCCGTCTAATCGATACGTGGACGTACTATACACACCGCAATGCGGTCACGTCGGACACGACACACGTCGAATCACACAATCATCCACGACGCGGAGAACAGGAGTCTCGGAGCGTCGAGGACTCGCCTCGGCGAGGGGAAACCGATCTGCATATATTCGGCGGGTATCTCTCGCCGGAGAATGGAGAAACATGCCGAATCGAGTCGTCATCACCGATAACGGAGTTTACGTCGTACGTTCCAAGTTGTAATCTATACGGACGTCAGCGAAGATACCTGAGAAGAGTCCGAGAAACAGAGAGAGAGAGAGAGGTGTTCTTTGTGTGTCAGAAAAATAATAAGATTCCGATTGACGCGGACGAGTCATCCGTATCTATATCATTTGGTGGATGACTAATCCACCTGCTGTGGTACATTCATCAGCAAACTGACTTTTAAAGATCTTGTTTTGCACTAGCGGATCAAATTTGTTTGTTTTTATCTGTTTAGTTTTAACGTTTTTTTCGGGTCGTTTCTCGAAAAGATGACTAGCTCGAACAGTCTACTTAGGCGTCTATGTAGCATGTTTGCATTATTTCGCTGTAAACAACGAAAGCTAATCTTAATTACCCTTCGTGCGTAATTTCCGGGTCGTACTTGTCCTCCGATTGATGTTTCCGCGTTGGTTACGCGACGGACAATGTTGCGATCATCCGTAATTCATTGTCATTCGATTCGTCGTCGCGACTCGTTGAAGCGCAGTCGCGCAGGTGGAAAACCTACGTGCATGTTACTTTCCAAATCGTGGCTCGTGTTCCCGGTTTTCAGTCCGCGCTCTTCCAGACCGATCCCTCAACAGTTACTGGCAAGACACGACAAGCCGAACGATTAACTCACATCGCGAACGGCGAGAACACGATGGATTTTAACCGCAAGATTGCAAGAATCATATTAAACGAGTGTTTACAGATTTGTCACTGTCACACCTTCCTTCAGGAAAGGATAAGAGCAAGACCGATCGCTAGGCCTACCCCGAACCTTCCCCCTGCCCGAGGAAAAGGGGCTCTCGGCGTCCCGATGAGGTTCGAGCCTTCTCGATGACTCCACGAGATGATCCGGAAGCGATTTCCACCGCCGGGGTCGCGTTCAGGAAGGTCCGCCGTCTTGTGCCGTCTCGTGCCGGCTCGTGGCGAACGACGAACTGTCAACCGACGACGTGCCGCTACGCGCGCGTGGTACCGCTTCACTGCGCGCACCGGAATGCGATGGGTCTTCGCCCGCCGCGGCTGGCCACGTTTACGTGCGGCGAGCGAGGGAGCCTTGAAGATGGTCGTCGTGTCGTGCTCGTGCCCGGCGAAGCAGCGTGCGACTGCCGCGGACCCGACGCGAACGGGCCGGCCGTACTCTCGCGCCGAATAACACACTGTATCCCGGACGGGTGTTCGCGTGGCACACACACATGCATACACGCGTCGCGAATCGGGCGCGCGAGAGCGGGAGCGATTGACCGGCACACGGAGATTCGCGACAGGTATTAATGATCCGGTGTAATTGCGGGCGCCTAATCGTCTTAAGTCTCTTGAGCGAAAAGGTATCAGAAGGTTAATGACTCGGAAGATCGGTAATAATTAGCTGAGATCAAAGTTCTAGCTTCTATAATCGAGTCTACTCGCGTCTATCTTGTATCTTGTATCTTAAAGATTAGTTCTAAAAGACAAGTAACGATAATATCGGTACCTGGCATCGTAACGAGTATACGCAAATGAATTCTTAAGGTTACACGTAACGTCTTTCACCACCAAATGGCGCCCGCGAATGTTAATTCACAGTCAAATGAAATTACATTACTTTCGCATTCAAAAAGTATGCCACAATCAAGTCGCATTCTGTCCTTTTTTCGTGATTTTTTACGAGAAATCGTTCCCTGGCCGGCTGCACCGCGTTTCATTTGACAACCCGTGATAAATATGCGCCTGACGTGTGCGTTAAATAAATCGTTCTCTCTGTGTGGCATAAATACACTTTTGACACGTGCGAGAGATTTATAAACGATGTGCTAAAAACGTACAAAAACAATATGCTAAAAACAATGATATTCTAGACTGATGCACATGGATTTCAACCGATCGAAGAAATTTGCGCAGTTTTTTTTTTCCAATGCAATTTACTAGCACGTGGATATGAATTATTCATAGATCGTCCGGAACGGCGGGCGGATATTTCTCTATTTCGAACAATTTCTCTCGCTTTATCTTTCATAGAACATCTCGAAGACAGCATAAAACATTCAACAAAGAATATATATATTCTTTGTTGCCCCGAACACATACACACACACACATACACCACATATATGTACACGTTCCAGAACTGGAACAAGCGTGTTAAATGCACGCGCATCTGACAAATATTCAAAGTTATTCTTCTGGAAAACGAAGCCCTGTATAAAAAAGTTTTATTCTACGTTTCCGACTTATTTTTTCATATAGAATCATCCCTTTTCCGCTTGTACCGTCAGTTCATTTTCTACATGGAGGAGTAAAAACCACAGTGGAATGTGTCAAATTTTTTAAAAATATTTTCTCGTGTACATAGATGCAATCTATATAATATATAAATTCCATCTGTGCACACGAGAAAATATTTTAAAAAATTTGACTTACATCACTGTGGTTTTTACACCTCCATATATATTCAGTAACTAAAAAGTACCTTTTTCTATGTCTATAAAAAATTGTTTATTTACGTGAAAAGCAGACATTCAAAGTTACTCTAAGTTACCAAAATATGTAGATACTCCTATACTTATCCTACAATTTTGATAAATGGATGTCTTCCTCTATCTCTAACCATTTTCAAGAAAAAAAAATATGGTAAACTTTTTATCACTCACCCAGAATATATTCGTGCCGCGGTATTATTTCGATGCAATATATGCGTCGGCCAGGCATTGTTTGACGATTGCCGGATGCACAGCATGTAGTGCAGACGGATAAGATACGTAAAGAAAGAGAGAAACGAACGAGGGAGGTACATGAATACGGAAGAGCGTGAAACCGGAGCGAGAGAGAAACCGGACGTGGCGGGTCGACGAGAAAGGAAGATGCGCGACCACGATTTATTCAGAAACGTGACCGAGAGGAGAAATTTTGAGGGTTGACGCGTCCCCGCGTTCGAAAGTTCCTTCGAGAGTCACGTTCCGCCACGCCGGTCAGTCATCGAGACATACGTTCGCCATCTTCTCGAAACCTCGTCTTTGAAGAAACAAATGCGCTCTGATCAATTTTAATATTTGAGCATCCCTCAACGGAAAAAAAATCGATCGGTGATTAAGTCAGCTAGACATTGCATCCCGATGTCGCGAGAAAAATTCAGCGACCGACTTCGCGCCTTCAACTGCAATAAATAGCAATGTACGCTGTAACCAAGTTGCTGCGAGAAAATTAAGATCTATGGGAGACCTCGGATAATTTAAAATTTACAACGCGTTTGCATCGCGTATCACAATGAAAGGCTTCGACTGTTTATTTCGCAGCGGAGCAATTCTTCCTCTCTCGTCGCTGATCGCCGTGACGTAAGGGAGAAACGTCGACGCGTTGAGTAAACATTTCGGCAGGACCGATCGCGAATCGAAATTCGGCTGCGTGTGAAGGATACGAGTTCAGCGTGATGAAGGGTGCGCGCGCGAGAATCGTGGTTCTCGAGAAACACCGTCTCGAGCGTCAGACTTGTCGAGATTTATGTAAATACTTAAAGGCGAACGCCTCTCGATCTGTCCCGTCTCGCAGCTCCGCCGTTTGTTCTCTTTCTCACAGTGTCGGTTGCGACACGTCGGCGCAGCTGCGGCTGCAACCACGGTATCAGGATAGCAACCAAGCCGAGAGGCGACCGTGCAAGATGCACCGCGATGCAAGTGCATAAACGACAGTTCCTCGCTCTCGGCAGTTGTGTATAAACAGTGTTATAAAAAAATATTTCAAAAGGGAGCAAAAAGTAAAAAGCACATATCTGTAATTTAGAGATAAAAAATCGTATCTCCAGTTTTTGTCAAAATTAGAGTTAATATACTTTTACAATGTTCTAGGAGTTTGAATTGTATAATGGTAAAAGATCTTATCTATTATCGCTAGTTCTTAAGATACAATATTTCGAAAAAGTCTTATTGAAAATGTTCATGGTCTAAATTTTGGTCGGGTACAGCGGGGGTCATTGGCAGTTGTACTATTAAACATGTCAGTTAAATTACTTTATTAAAAACTCAATAAATCAAGTTGCTACTTTTATTTTATATCTAAAAAATACATCATTTCCCTATTCAAGCCTTGCTTTTTCTAAATTTATAATAATGGAGATATAATTCTTTACCTCTAACAATAAGACTCTAAGTTACAGAATTACATAAAACTATTACGTGATGTTACAGATACGTATTGAGACAATAACTACAACAAGCAACTGATTGCGGACTCGATCGCATAATTGTCGTCAGTAACGTGAGAAATTTGAAACTTTTCAAATCTTTCTCTTCAGGGGAAGATAATCGAGCGACGATTATTTATAATAAAACGATCGATACTGGTTGCGGTCGCGCGCGTTTTCAAGGTTCCAACGAAACGCACGGTAAATCGGTAGTGACCGTTGCATAAGTGATTATCAATTTTTCCGTCGGGTGCAGCGTGCCGCGTAACCGGTTAGACGAGTGTAGCTGCGCACCGGGCCGCCAGCATTATCGGGCACACGTCGTCCTCGTCGTCGTCAATGTTACGCACCGTGAATGGCAAGTGCTGGAAAATGCACGCGAATCGCAAGTGCTGGATCCGGTAACGACAGCGGTCGCCGGGACAACACATCAGGCGAGAGAGATCCATAGAGATTACCCCTCGCAAAATCGTCCGCTGAATGACTATGGCGGGATAACGAAGTATCAACGGTAACGGGTCGACGGGTCCGTTATAAACTAACAGTTGGCAGGCAGAACAGACTAGAAACGTCAGTATATACGCGCTTTTGTCGAAGCAACGCTACTATTCCTGGCATTTATTTTCGCGAATCGGCGACGCGTTATTTATATATATCTCTCGCCAGGATAAAACGGAATAACATGATTATATAATACAGTTAAGATTTTAAGATGCGCAACGTTTTATCCTAGGAAACGCATCGTGTTATTGTCGTTTTTTTTTAAATCTTCTGCATCCGCAGAGATGATTTTGCGCCGCGGAGAAAGAAAGTTCCTGGAATCATTTAGCACCTGTAATAATTCTTAGTTACGGTTTAATTAATTTTGCGACAATCTTGTTTTATTAAATTACTTTTCTCCAAATATGTATTTTACTCATCCGTTTTTATGGCATTTATTATTATTTGATAATCAAACGCACTTTTTAATTTCAAGTTCTCTTTCATTTCGCAGTTCTTACTCGTTCATTATTTTTCGACACCGTTACATGGTTTAATTTTGACAGTGACGCGATATATCGCGCTTGTGTGATAGTGAATTAAGTATAAGGATACATAAATGAATTTGGATAAGTTTGCCGAGGAACGGACTATCTGATGAGAAATTTATTGAATTTCCCAACGAAGTTTCCGAACTGCTCGTGGAAGTTTCGTATCGCGGCGGATAATTAGCTCGTCCGATAAACTCATTGCGGAATAATTGACGTTCAATCTTCTCTAAGTTTTCGCGGGGCGTATCCGTACGCCAACAACTTACTTAAATAATATCCAAATAATTAAATTTCGCCAATTTAATTAAGCCAATTACTTTTCGTCGGGTATAGCGGCCTAAGATATACGATTTCATTTAACTTTATCTAACTTGTGATTTTAACTTCGCGTTTAATCAATTCGTCGGTCGACATGATGTTATTTTAACCGTAAGTTTTAACCGTAAATCAGGTATGTTTCATGCATAAATACATATTCGCTCACGTGCACACGCGAAACCGGCCGGCACACGAAAGAGAAGCCTAAGTGCACAATGATCTCTCGTATACGCGATACCCGCATACCGGGGAATTGGAGTGCAGAAATGCGACACCGTGCACCGCCGCGCTCTACGCCGCGCCGGTCGAATCCCGATCCTTTGTTTTGTAAGTGGAGATAGGAATATGCGAACGCG